TCCTCTTTGAATCAGCCATTGCTCTCTCTCTCTCTCTCTCTCTCTCTCTCTCTCTCTCTCTCTCTCTCTCTCTCTCTCACACACACACACACATAAAACAAACAACCAAACCAACTCTAGGATGGAGAAGGTTATCTAAGTTGCACTTAAATTATAAAATTTTCAAATTGAGTTCAGTTTAAATTGGAATCTTTCGTCGGAGTATTGTTATTAGTTAAATTTTTATGTACAAATCATACTATTGAGATTGAAATTCAAGTTCGATTCGTAATTCAATGTTTGGATTGCAATTCAGAATCATGTCTATTTTAATTATAGGTTATAAAATTAGGTTGAAATTTGGACTAAATCCGAATTCACTAATTTAAAAAGGCACCATTGAGTGGTGCTTTCTCTTGAACTTTGAACAAAAAATAAATCTCACCATCATCTCGACCAAGAGTTCCGAATTAAAAAAAATTAAACTAAACATGAGTTAAAACGAAGGAATCGAGACCATAAAGGAATGTTTCAAACTCCCGATTCATTTGAATTTGGTAGTGAGAACATTTGATTTAAAAGAAATATTATGTAACTCAAATTTGTAACTTAAATTTGTATTTCAAATTAAGGGAGACCATTGGATCAGTGAGTTCTATCAACTTTTTTAAATGGAACCCACTGATTCAATGGTCTCTTTTCAGTTGAGATATAAATTTGAGTCACAGATTTGAGTCATATAACATCGCTCTTGATTTAATAAGAATTTCGTTAAGGGTCCGTTTGGTTAGCAAGAAAAAGATGAAAGTGAAAGAAAATATATTTTCATGCATGTATTTGGTTAGCATGAAAAACTTCTAAGAAAATTTTAAAACATTTTTATTCAATTGTTTGAAAAAAAAGAAAGTTATAAGAAATTTTTTTTAATTGTCTAAATTATCTTTAAGTATTTTAACTAGGTCTGAAAAAGAAAAAAACATATTTTTTATTATTCAAATTTAAAAAAAAAATTGGCTCGTAACCTAATTCAAGAACAAATATCGACTCAAACCTTAATCTCTAGACCAAATTATACGATTAGCTTAATTTGTACTCATTTTTTTAAAATTAATAACTAATTGAATATTTTAAGAAAAATATGGGTAAAATGAGAAGTTAAGTTATTGAATACAACTTTCTTACTTTTTCTTGTATTTTTTGCAAGAAAAAAAAGTTAGTTAGATGTGAAAAAATCTAAAATTGAGAGAAAATTATTATTTTTATCATTTTCTATTTCATCCTAAACAAACGCATGTAAAATTTAAATTTTTTTCCTTTTTTGTATTTTTTAATATTTTCTTACTAAATAAAGAGAGCCTAAGTATTAATTTGGATCAGTATTATTGTGGCATCACTTTTGTGGTATGCCATTAGTAGGTTTGACCCCACCCACAGCCTGTCATTTGAGCCTCTAAATAAATAACAGTTATGCCTCTCTACTCTACTTGCAGGACAATGGAAACAAGTCAACATGCTTGTTCATTGAAATCTACTGGAGGAAATTTTAAAGCCCTACAGCCCATGTGGGTATCATGCAATTTGGGCCCACTCGATTACATCACTATGCCTTTTTTTCTTCATTTTCTCTTCCGATAACGACATATCGCTCCATTTCAAAAACTCTAAACCCGTGATTTTAATACAAATCTCGAATACATGTAACAACTTGTAAGTCATGCGTATTACTTAAATACCCCGAGTTACAATACACAGGAATTGACCGTTACGTCAGTACCTCTGGGTGGGTTAATACTTGCCTTGGTATATTTCATTTTTTTTTTGGTTTAACCGTTAGAAATATTCGAATCAGTTTACATATACTTCGATTACTTTTTTTTTTTGATTCGGTCAAAAGTAGGTCATTTACATTGGAATTAGGTTATTTATAAATGATAAATGTCTCATACCTTGCTCCTGAGGGGTTACCAAGATTTGAATTCAGAACGTCTGAATTTTCANGTCAAAAGTAGGTCATTTACATTGGAATTAGGTTATTTATAAATGATAAATGTCTCATACCTTGCTCCTGAGGGGTTACCAAGATTTGAATTCAGAACGTCTGAACTCCTCACATTTATGTCAAAATAGAAAATGACAAGTTGAAGACTATTGATTCATCTTTTTCACTTTTTCCCCTGTGAAATATGTAGTAGATGGTCGGATAAGTTAACTGAATTGTATACTCCAAGACTAAAATTTTCTGACCAGGAAATTGACAAAATGTGAAAGCGATCAGTTGAGGGTTGAGAAAAGGACCCAAATGATGTGTATCTGTGAGAGATATGAACCACTCCTTTTTTTCTTTCTTCTTTCTAAACTTCCATCGTCTTGTGGAGTATTAATTATCCCATTTTTTTGGAACTTATTTATACTTATATTAAAGTAATTTATTGAATTATTATTGTTGTCATAATAACATATTTTGAAAACACGTTTTTAATGAAAATTTGAGAAAATCTAAGTAAATGATAAGTTTTGTGAGTTGAGCAAAGGACCCAAATGCTGTAAATGTGTGGGAGATACATGAACCGCTCCTTTATGCCCAAAGTTGCATCTTCTTGTGGAACATCTAACATCAAAGGTTGGGAAACCTTGAAGTTTTTACGACTTCAAGGTATCAACAATGTGGATAAAATCATGGTTGATACAATTCACATGGTTTACAAATAATTACTTATATTCTGAATTGATTTTTTAGACATTTTTTTTATATATAAAAAAAATATTTTTTATACGATTCTGCCATATCTATTTCATAAAAGGAAGTGATGTGAAAGATACGAAGAACTTGGTTGGTAAAACAAACCATCAATTTTTTTTTTTATTTAATGGTTAAGGGTGTTCGGATTAACTTATGCATATTTCGACTAATTCCTTTTTATTGTAAAACTCCAACTTTAAATCTACTAATTTACCTTGGATTGAATTTTTGAGATTGATTTTCCACATATGAATTTCAACAAATTTCAGGGTATGGTCACATGGTCATAAACGCAATTATCATAACCTTAATTTTCTAGGAGAAAGGTCCAATAAAGGTTTCGAGCTTTTCACCACTCATCAAGTTGGGATTGAGGCTGTTAAAATGAGGCCTACCACATCGATTGAAAATGTAGGACCCTTGGATCAGATCAAATGACCTATCTTCCCCTCGACAAGGCCAACATGGTGGTAGGGGCCTATGGCAAAACTCCATTACCTAAAAACCTGGACCTTAAGATTGGTGTCTATAAATGTTCCCTCTCCACAAGCTGGACCTGAGTTGTTTCATGACAAACTTCAAGAATGAGGAATTTGTTAACGATTATGATCATGAACCCTCTTCCAAGGCATGACAAACGATCACGATCATTGAGAGCCCACTCCTAAACATTGTATACCTCCAAATACCACAACCGGTAATCACACAGGTAGTGTTATAAACCTTTTGATATGACTTGTTTTTAAAAACAGGTTTATAAAAAAAAAAAGTGTTCCATAGTTTATATATATACATCTAATCTTATTTTTAATGAATATGAGATCATAATATTCTACCACCCTTCCATAGTCAATGTCCACGACGACCAACTTCATCGGCATTGGCCCAATGATTATTACCCTTTCCCTTTAATAGTTTAACTCATATATTAATATTCAATGAAATCACACTATATTCATACGTAATATCAAATCACTTGATCCAATTTATAAACCACCCCTTGTATAACTCGACCCACAACTTATATTGCATTTGATTGAGACGGCTAGTTTTGATACCAATTATTATAAATTCATAGATAAAAATTCTGCTTTGTAAGAAAAAATGCCTAATAGTTTATATACATACATTTAATATTATTTTTAGTCCACATTTAGTTAAACCCACCCGGGTGTCATCAGCAACAGTCTAAATCAAGATGTCAGAATTATTTTTTAATTCACGATTCGTTCCAAGCCAACCATGCATCTCTAGGCTACCCGTGCAGGTTGAAAGATAATGGGTATCAACAACCCACACATGGATACTGATGCCCCTATTTTGTTTGATACTCCAATTTCCCAGAATTCACTGAAAGATATGCAAACAAATTCCCCCGTAACCAAGAACATGTATCATCATCCCGTGAAGGACTAAAGAGGGGGGAAAAAACAAGGCTTGATCAGAACTGGAATTCACAAATGAGACATGAATGTTTCAATCTCATCACTTACCAAAAAAACGAGAGAAGAAAAATAAGAGCACACAGTGAAAAGAGGTCTGAATTCTGGAAAATCAATACAAGTAAAATGTTCATGATTATACTATGAATTTGAAAGCAAAATTAGAAACAAAAGTATGATATAAGAAGAGATAATAACAATAAACCCACAAACCAGAACCCAAAAGCACTGATTATGGACTATACATACACTTCTCTGCAACCTACTCTCTCTTTCTCTGCCAATTTATTTCCACAACTCAAGTTTATATCCATATCAATTCAAATAAATATTGGGAAAGAGACTTTCTCCTCTTACATCCTCCTCTCGCTTCCTTGCCACTTCTTCTCCCCTCTGTTTCTTCAACATGGACAATTAACATTTTCTCAATAATAAAATACAAGTTCCCGGCACAAACACTCTGGATTTCTTCTTTGATCTATTCTCATCCAGATGATGAGAGATTGCGGTGCCCATGAGATTCAAAATGATCCCACGGAGAAGAAAAAAGACACAGGAAATTGAAATAACGAAGGCTGCTGAATTGGTAGGTTTTGTATCTGTTTCGAGGATGGGTAAAGAGGAAAATTCTCAAAAGAATTAATAAAAGGGTGGGGGTGGAGGAGAAGCATATGAAACTCCAAATATTGGAGGCAATGGTCCTTCATAGACCGGAGTGGGAGGGGGTGGACTTCCATAGATTGGTGGTGGCGGTGAAGGTGGTGGATTTTCACATGGGATAGGAGGGGGTGGAGAATGGTACTGTACCGGTGGNAAAAAAGAGAGAAGAAAAATAAGAGCACACAGTGAAAAGAGGTCTGAATTCTGGAAAATCAATACAAGTAAAATGTTCATGATTATACTATGAATTTGAAAGCAAAATTAGAAACAAAAGTATGATATAAGAAGAGATAATAACAATAAACCCACAAACCAGAACCCAAAAGCACTGATTATGGACTATACATACACTTCTCTGCAACCTACTTTCTCTTTCTCTGCCAATTTATTTCCACAACTCAAGTTTATATCCATATCAATTCAAATAAATATTGGGAAAGAGACTTTCTCCTCTTACATCCTCCTCTCGCTTCCTTGCCACTTCTTCTCCCCTCTGTTTCTTCAACATGGACAATTAACATTTTCTCAATAATAAAATACAAGTTCCCGGCACAAACACTCTGGATTTCTTCTTTGATCTATTCTCATCCAGATGATGAGAGATTGCGGTGCCCATGAGATTCAAAATGATCCCACGGAGAAGAAAAAAGACACAGGAAATTGAAATAACGAAGGCTGCTGAATTGGTAGGTTTTGTATCTGTTTCGAGGATGGGTAAAGAGGAAAATTCTCAAAAGAATTAATAAAAGGGTGGGGGTGGAGGAGAAGCATATGAAACTCCAAATATTGGAGGCAATGGTCCTTCATAGACCGGAGTGGGAGGGGGTGGACTTCCATAGATTGGTGGTGGCGGTGAAGGTGGTGGATTTTCACATGGGATAGGAGGGGGTGGAGAATGGTACTGTACCGGTGGTGGCGGCGGAGAATAATAGTGAATTGGTGGTGGCAGAGATGGTGGGGGTGGAGAATGGTAGTGAATTGGTGGTGGTGGAGGTGGAGAGGCATATACCGGAGGTGGTGGAGATTTGTGAATTGGTGGTGGGGGTGGGGATGGAGATGGGGGTGGCAAGTAAATAACTGGAGGTGGTGGGGATGGTGAAGGTGGTGGTGGTGAGTATTCTTCACATGGTGGTGGTGGGGAAGGAGGGGGTGGTGGTGGCGGTTCTATACAAGGTGGCGGTGATGGTGGTGGTGGAGAATGAACAGGAGGTGGGGGAGGGGATGAATAGACATAAACAGGCGGTGGAGGCGGTGAATGTGGAGGTGGCGGTGGTGGTGAATTATAGTAGGGAACGGGTGGTGGGGGAGGTGGTGAATGTGTTGGAGGAGGTGGTGGTGGTGGGCTGAGACAAGGCGGAGATGGCGACGGAGGTGGTGGAGATGAAAGGAGAGGCGAGGGTGGAGGCGGAGGTGGTGAATAAACTGGTGGAGGGGGCGGTGAATATAATGGTGGAGGTGGAGAAGGCGGAGGAGGTGGCGGTAAATAAACAGGTGGTGGTGGAGAAGGTGGCGGAGGTGGAGGCGAGTACACTGGGGGCGGTGGAGAAAGTGGCGGAGGGGGTGGTGAGATAATTGGTGGTGGTGGTGGAGGTGGTGAAAAAACAGGAGGTGGGGGCGGAGACGGCACCACAACAGGTGGCGCAGGCACTGGAATCGGTGGAGAAGGTGGCGGGGGTGGTGGCAAAGTAGGAACAAAAGGCTTACACCTGAATGCACCACAATCAACTTTCTTCGACAGGAAAGCCTTACACTGAGCAGCTGACCTTTGTGCCGGCCTGGCCGGCAAACAATTCCTCCGATCATCAAAGCCCGGCAAGGACAAGCACACCGGCGGCTCTCCGGTGAAGAAATTATACGAAAACGTGAAATTATCAAGCCTCGGAAGCTTACAAATACTCGCCGGAATTGCACCGGAAAGCATATTGTGAGCCACATTGAGCTGTTCCAAGCTCACCATTCCTCCAATGGCCTTCGGCAAGGGACCCATTAGCTCATTGAAACTCACATCAAACACTGTCAAGTTCTTCAACAACCCAATTTCCGGTGGCAAACATGACCGGAACCCATTGTTCATCAATATTATCTCGTTCAAGGTATCAGCCATGTTTCCGAGACTCGCCGGAACACAGCCATGGAACTTGTTATTGGCTAAAACAATTACAGACACCGGTGAATTACCAAAATTATCGGGTAATTCGAAGGAAAATCTGTTATGGTTTATAAAAATGGCATCCAAATCCTTATCGAAAAGCTCACTGGGAACACCTCCTTCAAATTCATTGAACCTAAGATCTAAGAATTTCAGAGTCGGTAATTGAAGAACAACATAAGGGAATTTTCCGGCAAACCTGTTGTTACTCAGGTCCAGCTCGAATAAGAGCTTGAGGTCCTTGAACTTTTTCGGCACAGTTCCACAAAACCTGTTTGAATTGATGTGAAACAATGCAAGATCTGTAAGCAGTCCAAGCTCTTCCGGGAGGTAGCCGGCGATATCGCCATGATTGAGGTCAATGCCGGCGACTGTTTGGATTGAAGGGTCATCGAGCGCCGAAGCACAGAAAACTCCGGTGTAGTTGCAGACCTCAGATCCAACCCAATTCCCAGTGATATTTTGGGGATCAGAGAGAATGGCTTGCTTCCATGCTTGTAGAGCAATGTAAGCATTTCGGAGTCTTGGGTTTTCGAAAACGAGAGATGGGTCGACCGTCACATTCTCGCCTCTGTCACCGAACTCGTCTCTGTAGTATAAGAGTTGTCTATGCTTGATGTACATGACTTCAGTATCAGAAAGACGGCCATTGTTAGAGACCTCGAATCTAATGTGCTCACAGTAGCAACAATTAAACAAGTTGAAAACCAAGAAAAGAATGATAAATGAAGGATTGGAGAAGAAATGCTGTGCAAAGGTCGTCTTCTTCATCTCACATGAGACATCTGAAGCTAAACCAGCAGGCAACAAGTAGTTTTATCTGTAAGCTTTTTGGGTTTTAGAGATTGAGAATGTAAGATGGTGGGTTTTGAGATCTGGTGAGAAAAATGGGTGGAGAAGAAGAATTGGGAGGAGGGTTTTGAGAATGGGGGTGGTGGTGGAGCTTGAGGAGAGAGAAAGATGGGTGGAGGGAAGAGGTTTTTTTCTAGGGATTTTGGGGGAGCGTGTGAAAGTGAGAGGGGAGGAGGAAAGTGGTAAGAGAAATAATAAACATCAAAAGGACAGCTAATCACAGCTCAAAGCCCACCAGATTCTTTCATTCTCTTTCATACTTTCTCTCTCTAATAAAGGGCGTCTTTATTCTTTCTTTTTAGTTTTTGAATTTATTCCCATTCAACTACTACAAGCTAAAGTGTAGAATAAACACAAAAAGAAAAAAAATAATATTAATATACAATTAACAAAAAATGGTATTATAATTTTTAATTATTTTTTTAATAATCGAGAGTGTTTGAGTCAATTTTTGGACATATCAACTAATCTCCTCTTTAATCTGATCAAAAATAGATCATCTATATTGAGATTACGGTATTTATAAGAGATAAATTTTTCATGATCTGACTCTAAAAATTTGTCAATTTGAATTAAAAATATATAAATTTATAGTTGATTGTTGTTATCACTTGAGTTACCTTTTAGAGGAGTATCATGATGTGAAACAAGCGTGTGATTACACTTTAATATGTCTTTTAAAATTTGATTTTCTCATATAATATAATGAATTCTAAATAGTTCTAAAAAAAAAAAGAAAATTGATTTTATCATTTGGTTTTTTAATTGTATTTTTTTGTTGGTCTTAATATTAGTTATAAGTAAATATGAATAATGCTATGATGACCCAAAAATAAAATTAAAAACGGTAAACAAATGATACAGAGGTAATATGATAATATTTTTGGTCCCTCTCTTATATATCTAAATTAGGTATAATCCGTATTGAAAAGTGTGATATAATATGAATAATTTTGAGAGGAATTATTGGTGGTCGTTCAATAAATTTATTTGAGATCACTGGATGAAATTATTAAAGACTATTATATTTTATATTATAGATTTAGATTTTATTCACTGTGTCATCACCAGAATAATTCTGCAATTAAATTTGTTTTAAATACATATAATGAATAAAATTAATTTGTGGGGTTGCAATAAATTTGAGGCTGTTATAGGCTGCTGGGGCGGTATGTTGACCGGCGAGGCTTGTGTAGCCGGTAACCGGTAAATGGGTGGTTTCGCATTTTATGTTTGGTGATTGGGATCGGAGTTTGTAAACCACTATTAAGGCTGAGTGGACCCTGGTTTTGGGGCTTCAATTGTCAAATCAAGGTAGTCTGTGGGCCCACACATTGATGAACTGCCAGCAACGTAAATCCGAAATTACCGGTTTGTCCATCTTGGGTTTTCATGGTCTCGAGCTCCGTTACTTTTGACTTTTATCACCGCAAAAGATGTTAATACACACAAGTTCAGGATTTTTTTTTCATGCATACTATATAATTTAGGAAAATATAATGTATTTTTGCATAAATAGTTAGAGTCTGTGTAAAATATTTTTGACTTAACGATATTTTTAATTATGACTCAAATTTAAATTTGAGTAAAAAAATATAAAAAATTTGCTCTAACTTTGATGAGCAATGCTACATGAACTTAAAAACTAGACTTGATAATCTCAACAATTGATTTCACTGTGAGTCCCGGCATTTATTGGGACCCATTATCTATTCAATGGTTGAGATTATCAAGTCTAATTTTTAAGTGTAGTTTTTAAGTCCATCTAGCATTACTCAACTTTGACTCAAACTTATACCAAATTAAGAGAAGTTTAATTTTTTACTCAAATAAAGGAAGATTCAAATCATTATTCAAAATTTTAATGATGAAATTTCAATCTCTTTTAAATATTCAATAATTATCTTTACTCTCTTTTAAATTTAGATTTTTATTTATTTAAATTTAAATTTAAATTTATTCATTGAAGCTTTTTGTATCAAATTAAGTTTTTTTTTATTCAAATATTAATTTAAATTTAAATAAAAATTTAAATCCTAGTCGGAGATGCTCCAATAATATGTGAAGTGATAATGTTTTAATGAATAAATTCAATAATTATAGTCTCGACGACACTATTAAACCCACAATTGTAGTCTCGACGAGACTACTAAATGGAGTTTGACTTCTCTCCAATTCCCTTTGAATGGTGAAGATGTTTTTACCTGAACAAAATTTTTCTTATTATGAATTAAATATGTTGTTGAGGATGGATCCTTATTATTTAAAGAGAATTGAAAGATCGATCAATTATTTGAGAATTGGAAGGGTGCGTTACTTGGCTAGACCATGTGATTGTGTTACATCATTAGGTTAATTAGCAAAGCAAATTAGATTAAATTTTTCATGCATATTTTACGAAGTTTAGGATTTTTTTTTTTGGGACAACATATTTTGCATGCATACAATAGTTCAGAAAAATACAATGAATTTTTGTATAAATAGCTAGTGTATGTGCGAAATATTTTTTAGCCAGTCTAAAATTATTAAAAAAATTGTTTTGATTTGGGCCTAAAATTAATTAAATGGTTTATAGTTTGACTAAAACAACACTGTTGAATCATGTCTCTATCACATCATCGGGCAGCAAAATTAGGTCATTTTTTTTTGTATTGTTGTCGGAGGTAGGTGTCTGGAATAATTTATGCATACTTTGACAAATTTATTCCTCAATCTGATCAAAAGTAAGTCATCTATGTCTCTAGTGAAAAATTTATGAGGAATAAATCTCTCATGATTTAATTCTAATACTCCGTTTGGTATGATGAAAAAATGGAAGGATGGAAAGTTAGAGGGATAAATAAAACATCGTGTTTGGTAAAGAAGTAAAATAAGAAGGATAANCATGATCTGACTCTAAAAATTTGTCAATTTGAATTAAAAATATATAAATTTATAGTTGATTGTTGTTATCACTTGAGTTACCTTTTAGAGGAGTATCATGATGTGAAACAAGCGTGTGATTACACTTTAATATGTCTTTTAAAATTTGATTTTCTCATATAATATAATGAATTCTAAATAGTTCTAAAAAAAAAAAGAAAATTGATTTTATCATTTGGTTTTTTAATTGTATTTTTTTGTTGGTCTTAATATTAGTTATAAGTAAATATGAATAATGCTATGATGACCCAAAAATAAAATTAAAAACGGTAAACAAATGATACAGAGGTAATATGATAATATTTTTGGTCCCTCTCTTATATATCTAAATTAGGTATAATCCGTATTGAAAAGTGTGATATAATATGAATAATTTTGAGAGGAATTATTGGTGGTCGTTCAATAAATTTATTTGAGATCACTGGATGAAATTATTAAAGACTATTATATTTTATATTATAGATTTAGATTTTATTCACTGTGTCATCACCAGAATAATTCTGCAATTAAATTTGTTTTAAATACATATAATGAATAAAATTAATTTGTGGGGTTGCAATAAATTTGAGGCTGTTATAGGCTGCTGGGGCGGTATGTTGACCGGCGAGGCTTGTGTAGCCGGTAACCGGTAAATGGGTGGTTTCGCATTTTATGTTTGGTGATTGGGATCGGAGTTTGTAAACCACTATTAAGGCTGAGTGGACCCTGGTTTTGGGGCTTCAATTGTCAAATCAAGGTAGTCTGTGGGCCCACACATTGATGAACTGCCAGCAACGTAAATCCGAAATTACCGGTTTGTCCATCTTGGGTTTTCATGGTCTCGAGCTCCGTTACTTTTGACTTTTATCACCGCAAAAGATGTTAATACACACAAGTTCAGGATTTTTTTTTCATGCATACTATATAATTTAGGAAAATATAATGTATTTTTGCATAAATAGTTAGAGTCTGTGTAAAATATTTTTGACTTAACGATATTTTTAATTATGACTCAAATTTAAATTTGAGTAAAAAAATATAAAAAATTTTCTCTAACTTTGATGAGCAATGCTACATGAACTTAAAAACTAGACTTGATAATCTCAACAATTGATTTCACTGTGAGTCCCGGCATTTATTGGGACCCATTATCTATTCAATGGTTGAGATTATCAAGTCTAATTTTTAAGT